AAAATATATTTTGATTATTTATAAATTTTGTCAAACAAGCACACGTTTTTCTATCTAATAATGTACTAAAACCCACCCCCTCCGTTTATTTTATTTAGGGAATTGTGAATCCAAAAAAAATTGAAATTGGCAGAGAGAAATTAAAGGTTGCATTTATGATTACCTTCCAACGTGCAAGCAAGCAGTTAATGCATTAAAAAACCACCATCAAATTCCTCCTCTTCTCCACGAAGAACCACAGGCGTTAGTTACACACACTGCAAACAGTAGGAAACGGAAGAAATATTCTGATTATATTTGTGATAGAGAAAGAGCACATGGAATTGGATTTGGAATTGGAATTGGAAGCCAAGGGTTGGAATGATTTGGGAGTCGTGGGCACTATCTACGAAGATGAAGAAGAAGATGCAGAAGATGAAGATTCTTCCTCCATACCTTCCATTTCACCTTCTCCTTCTCCTACTCGTACTCCTCGGGTGGAATCATGGTAAAAACACTTACTCTTTCTCTATCGATCATTTCCAATACCCTTTTCCTTCTCTCTGTTGATTCTTTTCCCGTCAAGATGTATAGATCCCGTTTAAGACATGGCTGCGGGCGAGTTATGGAAGTCTCGTGCTGCTAGGTGAAACATCACGTAATGTGGTGCTGTTTGAGACAATTTTCTAGTACTCAAGCCAACAGTTCTCCCTGAATACATTTTCTGAAAAATCCTAGTTTTCGTACTTAGGTTATCTATCTAATCTGATCGACCGTGTAAAGTTCATAGTAGTACTTTCTATAGAATTGATCTCCACCCCAGTGTGCAAGAAAAACATTTCACACTGCTCGTAATTAAGGTTCTCTTGTCACGGTTTTTATTCTGCACACTAAGTGCAGGAGATCACTACTTATACCTTTTCTCCTCGATCTTGATATCTGGTTTGGCAATTCGGGTATTATTTGTTTATTAATCTGTGAAATGTTTCTTTGATATAAGGTTATCGGCTAGGCAACTTGATCCAGATGTGGTGATAAATGTACAGGATTCATGTTTCCGCCTTCATAAGGTATGTTAACGTTTTCCAGTGTAAATTAATGTTTAATTACTGTTTTCCCCCCTTTTACCTTAGTTTTTTACCACCCAAACTTGCATTAGTCGATAAGGATTTATAATTTTACTATCTCATGATTTGTGGGTCCCACACAAAAAAAAAAAAATGCTACGGTGGAGATTGAAACTTACTAAGACAAGAAATCATCTAGTGCTTGTTTAATCCGTTTAAGATTGTTCAAAAACACTGGGAATTTCACCCACCCCACTAAAAAGGAGTTTCATTATTAATTGCGAGAAATAGCATGGCAACGTTACTCGTTACCCTTAATAAATGTGCAATGTGTGGTGTTTTTCGTAATAAATGAGAAGTGAGGGTGCATTTATTAGTTCATTCTTTTCTCTCAGGGCCCTTTGATTGCAAGGAGTGGCTATTTGAGCAGGCAGTTTAACAAATTGTCTGAAATAACCCTCAATCCACCGTTAAACATAACGGCCGAAACCTTCTCTCTGGTAACGGAATTTTGTTACGGAAACCGCATCGTCATAATGCCGTCTAACATCGCGGCTCTTCGTATAGCAGCCGAGCTGCTGGAAATGACGGGGTCTAACAGCATGAAAGACGAGAATTTGCAACAAAAAGCGGAATCATATTTCCGTTCTATTACCGTTAACCAAGAGTACACATCAATTGTATTGAAGGCATGTCTCTCGCTGCTCCCCGAGGCCGAAACGACGGCATTTCTAGTAAGTAGATGCATCGGAGCGTTAAGTTTAACGGGCGGCACTGACGCCGTTATGAGTTGCATGGTTGACGTGGGACAAGTAGGTGTAGAGGATTTTCAATTGGTTTTGGAGTCAATGAACCAACGGTTNTTTTGGAGTCAATGAACCAACGGTTGGCCAACGGTCACGATCTACTCTATAGAATCATTGACTTTTATCTCACAGTCAAGGTACGCCTAATCTGCCGTAATTCTCGCTTTATGCATGAATCACAGTTTTTATTAAAATTAATATTGGACAGATTTTGGTGAGTTTAGGTGAGAATGAGTTAATTAATCACATTATAATTTGATGGGAAATTTTGATTTATTGTTCGGCGCAAGTTCCTTATTGTTTAACACAAATGATCTATCGACCAACGATACTCATCTTATGTTAAAATTCATTGGTGAATAAAATTATGGTGGGCTCAACATTTAAATTAATTTTAAAATTCATCAATGAATTTATATGACACGTGCTTAACATAAAGATGAACGTCGATACTTCTTAGATCATTCCCGTTGTTTAACATAATTTACGTTTTGCAGGAAAATAATGACAAAATAACAGATGAAGAAAAAACCCGAATATGCAATTACATAGATTGCAGTGTCTTGTCCCCTAGACTTCTTATGCATGCAGTACAAAATCCTAGGTTGCCTTTGAGGTTTGTTGTCCAAGCCATGTTTGCTGAGCAGCTGAACACCCGCCGCTCAATTATCTCCGCGGTCGACCACCGTGAACATCATCATCAAACGGAGGAGGACACTGCCACGCTCGGCGCGATTCTCGAGCGCGATGCAGCACTTCGTCAAGTGGCACAGCTCAAGGCCGCCATGAGTGTGACGAAATCAAGAATTCAGGGCTTGGAGAAAGAGTTGAGTGGGATGAAAAAGGTCTTGAACGAATCTGAAAGCACTAGGAATAAGATTGATTCGGGCAAGTCTGCTAGTTTTCGACTTAGTTCGGAGAATAAGGTTGAAAGAGGGCAAATTGGTTCGGTTTCTTCTGTAAACTTGCGCAGTATAAGAAACAAGGTTGGAACGGGAGAATATTCTTCGTCTGAAGAATCATTTGATGGAAGCTTGATGGTAGAAAAGAATTTGGGTCGAAGGTTGATCAATGGGTTAAAGAGTGTATTTCGAATATCATCGAAGAAGTTTGAGAGTCGATGCCCCGTCAAAGTCGAAAGACAGGGTGAAAGAATTAAAGATGTACTCGAAAAGGAATAAGTTAATCCCGTCAAGCTATCTTGCATTGAGGTGTAAAATGACCCACGTGACCCAGCACGTGCACGTTGGACTCATCACGTCCAAATTGTGTGTACTATGATTTGGTTGGATTGAGTTTAAAGAGAAATCGAATCTGAATAAATAGTAAGGATTGCTGATCTGTTGCCTGGTAAAATTGCAGCGTTTAATAAATTTAAGGTCGATTTTGCACTGTTCAGATTGATACTTCTAATGAAAAATACGATATAGTTTAGTCATTAGTGATAGGAAAATCCGGAAATATAGACTAGAATAGCAAAGAAATTGATTCAAAAAAACTGAGCGTTTCCTTAAAATTCTATGATGCCTGGAAAATGTTAAGGAAACATACAAAATTGTTCATCCGGAATTCCGCTAGTTCACAAGTTATTACAGTGGGGTGCTTGACCTAACGTTTAAAATTTGCAATTAGGTTTCAGACTCCAACTTTTCACACAGCAAGACAGCTTCGTAGCATTTCACGATCGAATAGTCTAAATGGCTGTCAGGATAGAGCTGCTTGACAGCGTCTCAGCTGGTTGTGTTACGGCATGCTACCCATGGCGGAGAGTGTTTGTTTGCATCTCTCGAGCCATAGAAGGCAGCCATCTCTCCCCCTGAATACTTTTCATCTTGGCTACTCTTTCTTCTTCTCTTTTTGCTGCTGCCTTTGCATCAGCTTCCCGAGCTTCGAGTTTAGATAATGACTTCTTGCATGCCGCTGTTGCTGCAGCTATTATATCAGTCCCATCAATAGCAACAGATTGGACTTGCTTCCTAAACTGCAAGGACTCATATGAAATAGAAAAGCAAAATGAGGAAACTAAAATGTGTATAGGCAGGATGATGAATCAATAAACTTCAGCATCAGTGATAAGTATGCAAACCTTTTTTGATTTTTCATCCACCTCTTCCCCAGGAAGAATTCTTGGTTTCCTTTTTGGCCCTTCAAGTTCATCTGGTATCAAAGTAAAACTTTGGGATAAAAGGAACAAAAACACATAGGAAAAAGAAGAACAAAGATTCAATTTTACCCACAAGTCAGATTAATACTTAATTGGGTTCAGCTCGTTGATACCTATGATCAATCCAAGAATATTGAGCAAAATAAATAGATAAGCAATTTAACCTGTAAAGGACTTTGGTAAATACATAAAAAGGTAGGCACCAAAGGTTCATCCTCGGTTCAAGTAAAATAAGCAGAATGATTGATGAAATCTTCTTACCCAAGTGATCGAACAATATTCCCTGGGGAGCATATTTAAACAGTCTAACCCCTTCAGTCACTGTGGGATCTTTCTCTGATATAAGTTGATCTGTATGCCTCACTACTTCAATTGTCCTCTCTAATATGTCATCCAAAAGCTTCTGTGCCTGTTGTATAGCCACTTGTTTGTCATATAAATGAATACCAAAGCATAAATCTTGATGCTGGGAGTTACTAAGAAATTTAGCACATTCAACTATTGCCTTGTTTTCTAATAATTATACTTCTAATTCGAGAGAACGGAATGTTAATGTTCTGGAAGTAACACGTCAGACAACACTCAAGCTGGGTGCACTCATCGAATGTGATGACGTGACCTGTAACCTTAGGGTGTCCAACACCAACTCAGTGCCATGTATGCTCCAAATGTCAAGGAACAAAATTGTTAAGCGCTTCAGAGGCTGACACTCGTCCAATTCATTAACGCTTATCCAACCCCAACGGATTATAAACACAACTCACGCCCACTCACTCTAGGTATGCAAACACAAATTTCTAAATGAAACTCTACCCCATTTATTTATAGTAAAAACAACCAAAGCTGATTTAACCATTGGAGTTTGGTAGGTTTTCCATCCAGAGCAGCCCTCTTATATACAATCGAATAAGCTTATGATGACTATTAAGCATGTTTCAGGTTCTTGGATATTGGCATGGAGCTCCCAGTAGTTTCTAATGTTACAATAACCATTACACCCATACTGAGGTGATAAAATTATGCTTAAACATTTTTGGAATGATAACAACTTTCCCAAATCTTCAATGTGAACCTCACAAGGACAGCTAACAATTTTTATTAAACTAAACAAAAAGAAATCAAGAAAACTGGAAGATTATCACCACGAAAGTAACGTTGTAGAATGCAAAATCGCAACTCTTCCAGTATTAATGGAGCCTATCTATGCAGATATTCTAATTCAATAGTAGGCCGTGGAGATGCATTTTATCACCATACTGCCTCTAATACAATGTCTAATTGCATTATTTCTAAGTCTTCTTCCGATACAAAAATGCGAATATATCAAATTTATTGTTCCACTACCCACGTTTCTGTTACAAGCACTTCAGGGTTTAGCCCTAAACTTTGTAAGAGGAGGGTGCCTGAAGTGTTTATAAACCCATAAGGTGGGCATTTTTACGAGACTGACAATTACTCAAAAACATAACAAGATACATTAACATTTCGGATTTGCCCAGACAAATAAGGGATTAAAGAAAATAGTTTTGTACCTTGATTTGGTAGTGTTTGATGTTCTGGGGTTTATGATTTTCATCTTTGTCCTCGAGAATTACTTTGGAAGCAGAAGAATCCGATTTTCCACGGACCTTTAGAGAATAGGGCACGCCGTTGCCATTGGAATTTGCGGTGGAGCTTGTAAAGCTGGTGGTGGAGGCGATGGAATCTATGGCTATTCTCCAGTCAGCGTCTCCGTCTTCGCTTCCGCTGCCGCTGGTGGCGCTGCTACGGTGGTTCTTTCCGCCACCCATCCGGCGGCTGAATAGTTCTTTAAACGTCAATCCCAAGTCCTTGATTTTTGAATATTTATGCAAATGCCCTTTTCGGTTATGCCACACATTTTACATTGAACATCAACTCGAAGTTCTAAGGAAAAGAAAAAAAATACAAAAATGTAGTAATAATAATAATAATAATAAACCCTACTATTTTAAAAGAGTTAATCCACCATTCATTGTTCACTTTTGAAGATTTTCCCCATATCCCATTTTTATCCTCTTATTATATATCTCATTTTTACCCTCTACTATTTACTGTTCATTTTTGAAGATTTTTTCCATATCTCATTTCTACCTTGAATTTTGCCAGTCGTATCTATCCCTTTTTTCAACCCACTGTTTACTGTTCATTTGTAAAGCTTTTTGTTTATCCCATTTCTCCCATTTTTTTCTACCCTATTGCCTCTGAATATTTGATTCGTTCTTAGGCAAGCCACCGTCTACTGTACCTACACCTACAATTGTTGACTTTACATCCCTACTTTACTCCAACAAATGGCAATTCCTTTTATACGTTTTGCCCACAACATCAATTTCAACTTCGCTACATCAAATACCCATCGATTGCAAGGATATTTTGTACACACAATTCCAGTGTTGAGTTCAGAAAAGCAATTGAAACTAAAAAAAAAAAAAAAAATCCTGGGTTGTAATCGTTTGTACAAAATTGAGAGATATGTTACAGTTTGCGACTTCTCCCACACCTCCTCTACTTTAGCTGACAACAATTATTTCAGTTTAAATCGACCATAGTCCTTCTGGGGGTTGTAAGAGCTGGTATAAAAATGCGATATAAGTTATATTACCCTGATTTGAACTTGGACATCCTCGTATGTGTATTCTATATTCCTTGAAGACATTGAAAAGAAATTTCGTTTAAACCATAGAACTTGCTTGTCAGTTTCATGTATTTCTATTAGTTTTTCGCATATGCAGATAGGTAAATATCTTTCATAAGAATCTCATTTCCAGTTATGAACAGAGTTATATGTACTAATAACCTTCTTCAATTTCTGTTAGTTGCTTTGAGCCTCAATAATTCCATAACTTAACATATTGTTGTACGAGCATACAAAAAAGAAAAAAAATTGTCCACGTCCGCGCTGAAGTCACTCTGCTCTGTGCGGAGTATGTGAAGTGAACACTGCACAATGCGGAGAAAACCCTCACAAAATATCTCTCTGGATAAATAGAAGTGAAAGAAACTCTGCGTTGTGCGAAGTATGCAGAGTGAACACTCTGCACATTGCGGAGAAAACCCTCGCAAAATATCTCTGTGGATAAATAGGTAAAATATCTCTCTGGATAAATAGAAGCAAAAGAAACTCTGCGTTGTGCGGAGTATGCGGAGTGAACACTCTGTACAGTGCAGAGAAAACCTCGTAAAATATCTCTCTGGATAAATAGAAGCGAAAGAAAACCCTCGAGAAGTTCAATCAACTCGCGCGTTGTGTGGAGAAACCCCTCGCAAATTAGTTCCCTTACCTTTCATCCTCTAACAGCCGTGAAATCCTAAAGAATAGTATTTGATAGATGAAGATGAATGTGAGAAACTGTCTTCTTATCATTCCATAATTTTTCCTCTATGGTCAAAGTTACGGGTATCTTGTCAATTCCCAGCAAAGTATCATCCAAATCCAACTATGTGAGTACTGCATGCATCTTAACCTGCTATAGTGAAAATCTAGTGCTTCGATTCAAAAGTAGAATGTCATACTTCATGGAAACTATCGTGAATAAAAAATCTCGAACAAATCAAACATTGCGCTTTTGCGGAACTGCTAAACATGGCGCTCTAATACAAACTTGTTGTAAAACAACCAAGATGACAGAATTGCTCTAATACCACTTGTTGTAAAACAACTAAGACGTCAGAATTGCTCTGATACCAATTGTTGTGAAACAAACCATCGGATTGAGATATTGAAATTATATGGTAAATAATAATGAAGTATATGATCAAGTAAAAGAATAATAAAGACAAAAAAATGAAAGATGAATTAAGAGATTTTATTAACTCAAGAATAATGGAGAAGAGAGAAAAATTACAATAAATCCTATAATTCTAGTAATCTATTTTCTCACACCATAAAATTGTATAGAAAAACTTAGTATTTATATGGAACGTGTAGGGGATGTCCAAACCCTCCCAATAGAATTGTTGATGAAATATGATACCAAATAATCGAATCCAAAACAAATTACAACTCCCAATGGACTTCTGAAATAAAACTTCAACTTCACATATGACTCCAATAACATTCCAAACTAAATTATTCTTGATATGCATTTCAATTAGAATTTTTCAATTATTTCAACAAGAAATTCGAGTCACACCCAAATTCTAACAGTTGGAATACTTTCTCATGTCTCCATGTCCTTTAGTCGGACCTCATCTTCAGCTTTCTTATAGTGCATGTTTGGTTAAACTAAATAATTTCTTTGCAAGTGGAAGTTTGGAATTGATATGAAGTGATAAAGTATCGAGCTTTTCATGTTAATTGGGATTTCTCTTGTGATTACACTTTCTGGAGCAGTAGATGGATTTACATCAGGGTAGGGTACAAAATCAAATAACATTTGTATTCAATGGTAAGCTCCCAGCGGATTATTGGAAAAATCTACTTTTCGTTCATCTGCTAGCTGAAGAATTCTAAACTTTGTGTAAAGATTGATCAGTTGGGACTTTTCTTGCAGTTGAGGTTGTTGTAGATACTGCTTTGCCTTTCACATCTAGGTCCAATGTTCCAGCATAGTTGATATGGCTGATGAAATTGTGAGAAATGGTAGTACCCTGTGTATCCTAAAAATCCTCAATTCTATTTTGTTTCTTCGTTATACTTCGCAGTTGATAAGTCTTATGGGGTCAATTCTCCTAATTTTATCGTTACAGTAATAACAAATTTTAAGAGAAAGATTGCAGAGATTAAGCTACTACTTGCTTAAGTTGATATAATTATTTGAGTGGATAGGATATTTTCTGGTCTTTGAAAACATGTTGAACATTGACGCTGGTATGATTCCTTTAATAAT